GCGCATGCCACCCGGCTGGATACATTCTTATGTCTACAATGGGTGTGAATCCCAAATCCCAAACTTGATTTGTTTGCTTCTCTGTTGAGCCTTCTGACACAGGACGCTGAAATTTGGTCTTAGTCTGGAATGTTCTCTCTCCACCTCCCCAAGGGCTGTATCTAAACTTTAGGGGCTTAAAGTGCAGAGGTTTGGGGGGGGGGAGAGACCTTTGTTTAGTGTCATCTGTTCACACTGGCATTTACCGGGATGCCAGTGTGCCCCCATATCTCAGCGGCCAGCTTGAACTGTCACGACTGAGTCATCTTTCATTTCCATCTGCAAAGCTCCTCCAGGACTAGGAATTCTCAGCTTTCCCATGTTATCTGCTCTTCCCCATGACATGCCAGTGAGAGGTGAACGCTGTGAGTCCCAAACTTACTGTGCTTGGGTTTCCTTGACTCTAATTTAAGACATAAAACTACAGTTGGTCTTCATTATTGGTGGATTCCACATTTACAAGTTCACCCATTCCTAAAATGTATTTGTAATGCCAAAATCAGTACTTGCAGCTCATCTTTGGGGGACATGTGCAGGGTGGGGAAACACTTGAATCACCTAACATGCACATTCCTGGCTGAGTTCCAACAAGGTGGTGCTCTGCCTTGTCCTGTCGGTTCTTGCACTGATGAAACAAGTATTCTTTCATGGAATATTTAGTGCCATGATCTTTACATTTTTGTGTGTTATATTGATGGTTTCATTGTTTAAAATGGCCCTGAGTTCAGTACTGAGGAGCTGTGTGTGTTCCTAAGCACAAGAAGGCTGTGATGTCCCTTATGGAGAAAATAGCAGGTGTTAGGGGAGCTTTGTTCAGGCATGAGTTACAGCACAATAGGTCATGTGTTCAGTGTTCATGAATAAATAGTGCCCAGTAAGGAAGGGGTCCTTGAACAGAAACACATAAAACAAGGTTCTATGTTCATCCATTGCCTAAAACTTTGTGACTGAAGGCTCATAGGAATTCATCCTGCATTCTCTCTAAGACCGGAGATTCAGTGTTCCTCAACACATTTTTGGTGACAACTTCATAGGCTGTAACTGCTGAGAATAGCTTGTCATACCTCTCTCAAAGGATTGACTGGATGACAAGTGGCAGGCACTTAGAACAGAGTCTGGCACACAGTTAAGTCCTTTGTCCAGACTCAGAGCACAGCCTGGAGGTTTTATTGGCTCCCTGGGGTCTGATCAGGAGGTGCAGCACCAGTCCCTTGTGCCCTTGGACTCCTTGCCCACTTCTTCCTCCAACTATAGCCAGACCCACTGAGGAGCAGGGCCAGGCTACCTGAGGGATTTGCCCATCATGGTGCTTGGCCCCATCTGGTCTTACAGCACATTTTTCCCTGAGTCTACTCTCAATGCCTTTTGGAGACTCAGAGCTTTTGAAATTCAGAACTCAGGAAATACATTCTTGTTCCTCTGCTTTCCATTATCACATCCTTTCCCCAAAGCAATAAGGCATCGTGATGATGCAGCTTGAATATAAAGGAAGGGCACAAAGGCAGAGGAAATGCCAGGATTAGAAGGGAAAGGAGGAAACAAACAGTGGGAAACACTTTAAATATATTATTTTGCCATCTTTGAAGAGAAAGATTGTATTTTAAAACTAAGAAAATGAAAGGTCAGATTGGATATTCAGTCTTTGACCAGAGGATGTATATATAGCATTTGGACTGATTTTCCATGCACTCTCAGCCGCCAACAGGGCAGGGGTCATATCTGCCCCACTCACTGCTGTATTCCAAGTGACTAGCGGGGTTCCTGTTGGGAGTAATGTTATCTCATTGTCTAAAAATAAACAAATGGGGGTAAGGAGAGAGAGAGAGAGAGAGAGAGAGAGAGAGAGAGAGAGAGAGAGAAGCTGGTAGTTAGTTACTTTTCCAGGATTTATATGTATATAGTAGGAGAAGGTAACCATACTCAAGGTGATACTTCCATTGCTGTTTTTTCAAATGTAGAAAATAATCACAATCACCCTCTCAGGAACCCTATGAGAACCAGGGGGATCCTTTGTCTCTCTTCCTTTGGAGGTAAAGTAACCAACAGCACACTGATCTCTCTCTTGGTTTGAACTGTGTCACAATTGGTGCTGACCTTGCTAAGCCACACCCCCGAGGCATGAAGGCATGAAGGTAATTGTAGGTGCATGGGACAGAGATGGACTTGGATAGATAGTCTCTTTATTCTCCTTGGTCCTTTAGATTCCTTCATCCAGAAAGTCCCCACTTTTCTATTTTACCTATCATAGTTGTGGAATAAAGAAAAATATAATACATATTTCTATCCATTTGGATTTCTAGGAAGAGCTATTGTTCAAGTTATATGATAAGTATGACATCTGTTTGCTAAAGTCATTTATCCTCTTGAGGTCATCTCTAGTCTGAGTTGACAACACAGCCAGGCTCCATGAGGAAGGAGCAGGTGGACCCTTAATGTAGAGGCTTGTTATCTAATGTGGCTGAGGTAGTCCTCTGGATACTACAGCTTATGGCTTCTCCAAGAGTCTGGAGATTGATTCCAGGGGCCCCAAAGAGACTGATTAGGGCAGTAGGGATAAATGCAGTCTGGGCCAGGATGTGGGAGATGCTAAAATGATAAAATGATTAGCCTTTGCTGCCGCTAAGATGACTCGGCTTTGCTTGGGGTAGTTTAATTAAAGATAAAATCCTTTGCTCAAGCAGAGGAAACAAAAAGGAAAGCCTCCCACAGCCTTCTATTGGTCTGAAGATGTAAATAGATAAAACCTAAATGTTTCCTTTCAGTGTTTAAATATACTATTGGATCAATTTCCCCAAGGGCTCACTAGGACATCAGGAATGCCCTGTCGTGCTGTTGTAACTTGAAGCTACATTGCACAGTAGCTTTGGGATAAACAGTTTTGCTTGCTCCTCCCTATGAGAAGAGAGTTGCATGTGTTAAAGATTTTTCATAACTAATTAATGAGGGAACTAATGGAGAAATATAAAAACAGTTTCCCCAAGTTCTTGCAGAAAGTGTGCGCTCTCGCGTGAGCATGCGTATGTGTTTGGGTTTAGCAAAACAAAACCAGAAAAAGAAAAACAACCACATTAAATAAGAAGATAAGAACCTGCCTAATCTCTACACATTAATAAAACTGTGACTCCTTTGCAATACTTTTGGAATGATTTCGGAGTAATGCAGGGTCCCAGGCCCCACCTTAACCTTCAAAATCAGAACCTGGATTTTAACAAGATGACCCTGTGATTTGTGGGCAACTTAAAGTTTAAGAATCCCCATCAATATGTACAACTATAATGTACCAATTAAAAATGAGGAAATAAAAAAGAATCAGTGCTCTACAATGACATTTTAAAAATCAAGCAGTTTTAATTTTACTCTTTCCAAGTTTAAGGCACATTTTTTTTTCATTTATTGCCACAATAGGGTCAAGGGTAAGCCCAGGTCTCAGCCCTCAGGACCATCACTGGGCCTTAGAATGACCACATTCTTCCAGCCAATTCCAAGCAGGTTGTCTTAAGCCTTCAGTGCCGCAGTTGCAGTTTTCTTCTGCTTCTGGGTTGCTTCAGAACTAGAGTTCGTGTAGGAAGTGAGCAGAGCCAGTGGGCCCTGGTTCTGCCATATGAGGAAACACAGCACAGCCCTGCATGTGCTGGTGCTTTCCACCTACTATCACATTAATCCTTACTGGACTCACAGGAAGAGGCATCACTAGTACGGTTTGGATTTGCTGCATCCCCAAATGTTCCTGTGCTGGAAGCTTGGTCACCAGTGTGCAATAAAACCATTAAGAGGTGGGGCCTAGGGGAACATAATTAGGTTATAGGGATTCCATGCTCATGAATGAATTAATGTTATCCTGTAGTAGTGGTCAGATCTCCTGTAACTGGATTATTTCTTAAGAGTGTGGTTTGTTATAGACCAAGTTTACTCCATGTGCTTGACCTATGGCTAATCCCCTTTCTGCTTCTCTATAATGTCAAGCTGCCAGAGGAGCCCTAACTAGATGGCTGGAAATAAGACAGGGCAGGGGGTAGGGGACAGTGGGAAGATACCATATACCTCTCAAGGGCACATCTCCAGTGACCTACACCCTCCAACTAGGTCCCACCTCCTCAAGTTTCTAACACCTCCTAAGAGCACCACCAGCTGGAGACACGCCTTCAGCACATGAGCCTTTGTTGGACTTTCTAGATCTCAAACTATAACACTGTTGTTATTATTTCTGTAGCTGTCAACTGCAAATAGGTACCCCAAACTTCTGCCAGAGTAAAGAAGATCGCTTTCAAGAATGTTGATCTAGGGGCTGGGGATGTGGCTCAAGCGGTAACGTGCTCGCCTGGCATGCGTGCGGCCCAGGTTCGATCCTCAGCACCACATATAAAGAAAGATTTTGTGTTCGCCGAAAACTAAAAAAAAATAAATATTACAAATTCTCTCTCTCTCTCTCTCTTCCTCTCTCTTTAAAAAAAAGAATGTTGATCTATGCAAGTTTGCTTGTATCATCTTAAGTAGTTTAGTAATAGACAAATAGCAATAAAATAGTTTAATTTCCATAAATAATAATTTAATAACAATAAAATAATTTTTTTTTTGCTGCCAGAAATTATTTTTCCTTGGGATTCCTTCAGGTTAAAAAGCAGTATAGAGAGTGTCATTTGGAAAGGCCACAATACCTCCAATGGAGATAATTTATTAGGTCTCTGCCTGTACTATTCTGAACTTTCTGTTTTCATGACCCAACTAGAAGTTTCTCTTTTATTATTACCCCCATGTTATAGGTGAGGAAGCCCGAGGTCACAGCAACTAAATGCTAGAGCTGGGCTTGTGTCTCCACCGCCAGGCTGCAGGTGTCACCTCTCACTGGGTGAACCTTCCAATCACATCCAGGCTGTGTCTGCTGGCTACGAGGAGCTTTTTCACGGAAGGGGAGGGTCTGTAGTTTGCTCAGTGTTCTCATACAGATCTCTTTTGCTTTCCAGGTTTTGGAGGTGCCCTGGGCTACCTTTTGGGTGCCATAGACTGGGGTCATCTGGAACTGGGAAGAGTCCTGGGCTCAGAATTCCAGGTCATGTTCTTCTTCTCTGCGTTGGTGCTCATTTTGTGTTCCATTATTCATCTGTGTAGCATCCCTGAAGCCCCTCTTAAAGATGTCACAACAGACATTATTCCCCCAGAACCAGCCCCTCAGGACCCTCCATTGTCATCAGATGGAATATACGACTATGGTTCTATCGAGAAAGTTAAAAAAGATTATGTCAACCCAGAGCTGGCAATACAGGGCAAAAAGAACAAAAATCCTAATGAGCAGGTAAAGATGCAGATTCTTTCTTTCTTTACTTAAGAAAACTGGTTTTGCTCTTAGTCACTCTTTATTGGATTTTTTTTTTTTGCTTTGTTTGCTTGTTTGATGTGAAGACTTTTGTGAATTTTAATTGAATCTTCAAACCCTCAGTAGCTATTATCCTTTGGAATTAAAACTTTGCACCTCAAAGGAAAAAAAATGTGCATTTTCCTCTTGTCCTCTTGTCTCTTATCCTTTTCAGAGCATCATCAGGGAAGATGATGCCGGCTGTGGAAGGTTAGATCATTTGAGAAGCCTGGAAGCATCCACAGGCCCGAAGAAATGTCATCTTAGATTAGGATTATAATAAACTAAACATTTGTTCCCTCATATGGCAGTATCTTTGGGTTGATGACTGGATGGGGCATGTATATTTTGTGTCATGGCTTGATTGGATATCATTGATTTCCAGTGAAATGAGCAGTGAATTCATTAGCTTAAATTTAAAAAGAAAAAAAAAAACCACTCATGAAATACCAGAGAAATGGGACAAAGTTTAGATGAATTGGTTAGAGAAGAGACTAGAAGTGGGCAGATCAATAGAGGAGCTATTAACCCCACAAAGCTTGTTAAATTAAAATTTATTAAAATGAAATACAGTTAAAACTTCAGTTCATTCATTGCATTAGACACATTTCTAAAAGCAAAGCCTCATATGACTAGTAGCTACTGTTCAAGACAGTGAAAGCACAGAATCTTTCCATCACCACGAAAAGTTCTATTGGACAATATTCATGCAACAATTGCTTCTTTATTCAAACTGAGTTTAAATATCAACTGCTCAGCTTATAGCACAAAAGGATGTATTCATTGACAAAGAGGTTATAGAAGGCCTGGGTTCAAGTCTTAACTCCTCTATTTGGCTGACTTTTGTTATTGATTCAACAAATCACTAACAGGCACAGCTGTCAGATAGCCTATGATAGAGAGCATGGGTGTTCAAATTCTGCCTTCACCACCTCTGAAATTTATGACCCTGAGCATTCATATTTTCATAAAGTGAAAAAGCATTTCCATCTATCTGCAGGGATATTGGGTAAGATTACATAATATAATTCACGTACAGTTGATTATAGTGGTTCCCACCACACAGTAAGATAGCACATTTAGGTGTTGTTATTATATGTCTGGAAGAATGCTGAGTTCTCTAAGCACAAACAGGGGACACAGTCTAGACTCTAAACAAGCCCAGTGAGTTTCATCTCCCTGAGGTTGGCTTATTTTATTGGCTTGGTCCAATAAAATAAGCCAACTATTCTCCAGGACTATTGGAATGTTCAACTAACATAAACATGGAAAGGTGCTTTATAAACTTTACCTAAGTATAAAAACATATAATAATTATTCATTCCATGAACTTCTCTGAGTACTAAGTATGTACAAAGCACCATACTGGATATTTGGGAGCCATAAAATTGACTAATGTGCAGTACCTATTCTAGTATTTACAACCCAACAGTGGGCATGAGCCATTTACCACTGCAATAAGATACAATATGGTTAACACTTTAAAAGCCACGAGTCAGTTGAAATCTTCTAGAAAGTAGGCACTGGGAGAAGGTTAACCATGCAAGAGATTCATTGGGGGAAAACAGCATGAAGGGCAAAAGGGAAGAAGCAGATAAAGACAGGGAAAGTCTTTATATCATGATGTGAGAGGAGAAGGAAAAAGGAGGAGGACAGGAAGACTCTTAGACATAATGCAGTTCTAACAAAGTTTCAGTCAAACCAGTAGGGAATCCTCCAGCCAAAGTTGGACCTTAGAGGAGTCCCAAGTCTTTTTAGAGCAGGCTAAAACTAGTATCTAACATCTTGTTTAATCACTGGCTAGAAACAGCCAGGGGAAGGATACCCTGGTTGGCCTGGGTGAGGATACAGAGAAACTGGCCAGGGCTGTGCCTCCTACAGAAGGGCATCCAAATGGCACATTTCCATGGTGGTCATGAGTGGCACCATAGAACTGCTATTGGCTTTTACAAAAGGGAGAGATTGTGCATGAGCAAACAGAGCAAGTCTTCATGGATGAAATCATCTTTGAATTATGCCTTGAATGATGGCGAAGATTTGAATAAGTAGAAACTGGGGGTAAGAATACTCCTGGACCAGAGAAGACAATCAGCAAAGCTATAAAATGAAGGGGAGGGAAGGCTAGAAGCATATTTGGGGAAACCATAGTTGGTAAATAGCAGGGGAAAATATATTTATTTTAGATAAAATAGACTTTTAGTCACAAACTGTACAATGAGACAAAAGGCCAGTATGTAATGATAAAGGGATCATTTCACCCAGCAGATAGAACAATTGCAAATATATACATACTCCAGGTCAGAATGTGTGTGTGTATAACATAGTTATCTATTAATATATGTAGAAATAGACTATAATACAATAATAGTAGGGCACTTTAATAATCCAACTTTCAATAATGGACAGATCATACAGACAGAAAATCAATGAGGCTTTGAAGTACACTTCAGAACAAGTACACTTCAGACCCAACAGACTAACAGAACATTTCCTCCAATAGCAACAGAATACACATTCTTCTCAAGTGCACACGGAACATTCTCTAGGATAGATCATTTAGGTCACAAACAAGGCAACACATTTAAGAAGACTGAAATAGTAACAAGAGCCATTTTTGACTGCAATAGTATAAAACTTAAAAGGAATAATAGAAGGTATTTCAGAAACTCTCAAATATATGGGAATTAAAGAGCATGCTCCTAAACAACCTATGGGTCCAAGAAAAAGTAAAAAAAGAAATTTAAAAGGTATCTTGAGACAAATGAAAATGGAAACACAATTTTTAAAAAAATTATGAGATGCAGCAAAAAGAGTTCTAAGACTGAAGTTTATAGCAATAAATGCTTACATTGAAAAAGGAAGAAACATTTAATAATCTAAATAATAATCCAAATAATCTTGAATTACATTTTAAGAAATTAGAAGATGAGGAACAAACTAAGCCAAAAGTTGGTAAAAAGAAGAAAATAATAAAAATCAGAGCAGAAATAACTGATATAGAGACTAGAAAAAAACAACAGAAAATATCAATGAAACCAAGAGTTGGTTTTTTGAAAGGTAAAAAAAA